GTCTTTTGGTGTTATGCAAGAATGGGTTTGTAATATTCGTCAAAGTTACATGTTTCGGCATTGATTCTGTTTTAGATCTATGTGGTGCGCTCATTTCTGATGGAACTCAAGGCACATTGGTACCACTGGACAAATGGCTACCTCCTGGCTCAGATCCAAACTCCGCCGCTGATATCTTTCGAGACCACCGCTCACCAGATATGCACGCCAATTACTCAGTATATCTCTGCTCTAAAGTCTGTGAGCTCGTTGCTGACCGAACTCACTATGTCGAGCTTGGGGAGAACAATGGTTGCGATTCTGCAACTTTTGAAAGACGATGGCTACGACTCTGGCACGATATTCAATCTTGGTTGGAGGATCGACCGGCAGAAGTAGTTCCTGTCCAATTCATTGAAAGTCGACCATTCCCTCAGATTCTCTTTGTTCATTGGGCTGGGATCTCATCTAATCAGCTTTACCACACAGCCTGCACACTGTTGCTAGGGTCGAAACCTCGGGAGGTCAAGCTTGACGTGGGACCGACAGGATCTTCCATCTGGCATGCTAAATGTATATGCGGCATTTCCTTGACCAACCCCCATCAAGGCTGCCTCAATAATGCCATCCAGCCACTTTGGATTGCAGGGAGACTTCTCAGTCACAAGTCGGAACACTTGCTTCTTTCCAAGTTAATTCTGAGCATAGAGGCGATGACGGGGTGGGCAACTAATTGGCGCATTGCCGACCTTGAACACGCATGGGGTTACAAGGTTAGATGAGATTTTACCGTCTCCTCTCTTCACTACTGTAGAAATAAATCACGGGAAACGGCTGAAGTTGGTAGCATTACCAGTCAAACGAAAGGGGCATCCAGTAAGTAATAAGTTATGAGTCTCATGTATTTAAAATCCAGATCATTCATTTCATCCTATAGCTGCATTATACCACCCAGTCCCTAGCTTAAGCAAAGATACGGAGAGGAAAGTTAGGAAGATAAAAGCCAGGATCATTGAACCTTAACCCGCGGTCCAGAGCAGAGATGCTCTCAATTTCTTCTCGAGAAAGGTCAAAACTCACAACATCCAGATTCTGCGCCAGGCGGCTGGGGTTGTTTGACTTGGGAATGACAGCAACGTTGCGCTGCGTCGCCCACCGTAGCAGAACCTGAGCAGGAGTCTTACCATATTTTCCAGCAATGCCCTTAATGAGACTAGACTCAAGAAGAGGCTCGGCACCGTGAGCTCTTTTAGAGAAGATGCCGGGGAGCTCCTTGAAGCTCTGGGGCCCAAATGATGAGTAGGCTGTGACAGCGATGTTGTTCTCTTGAGCCATGGCAATCAGGTCTGGCTGGACAAGGTAGGGATGGTGTTCGATCTGCAGAGAGGATATGGGGTGACGCGTGTAGCGTTGCACATCGTAAAGGGACTGGGCTTGGAAGTTCGACACGCCGATGGACTTGGCGATACCTTGGTCGACAACTTCCTCGAGCGCCTCCCATGTCTCGCGGATGGGGACGTTAGCCGGCTTGACAGTACCCTGATCATCCATCCACCAGGCCTAGACGAATATTAACCCACATGCACAAGAAGGACTCAGATCAAACGTACAGGATAGCGCCGCTTCTCAGGCTCAATATACTCGAGGGCAACCGGGAAGTGAATGAGATACAGATCGATATATCCAAGACCCCACGCCTCATTCTGGGACTTGGCAAAAGCAAGGGCATGTTCTTTCGCGTGGTAGTTATTCCAAAGCTTCGTGGTGATAAAGATATCCTCACGCTTCACAAGTCCCTCCTTGATAGCGCGCTGGATACCTTGGCCCGCTTCCTTTTCGTTTTGGTAATCGTATGCTCCGTCGAAGAGTCTGTATCCGGACTTGATGGCCTATATGGTTGTTAATACAGTTGAATCGTGAAGAAGTACGGGTTCTCACATTGTAGACTGTCTCAGCTGCTTGGTCGGCGGGAACTTTCCAGAGGCCAAAGCCAACCAAGGGCATTTCGTGGCCAGATGCGAGCTTGACGGTAGAGGGAGCCATTATGAGTGATGTAAGATTCAAGATGTGACCGGTGGTGACAAAAGATAAAGAGGAGGAAACGAAACTCGGAGAGAGCTTCTTGAGCTGCTCTCTTATCCATTTTGGCCTCTCCAGTCTCCGCTTGACGAATACCTCGAAACATCTGTCATGATAGTATCAAAACTGATTGACTACTGACCCAAATCATATACAGTAGCATGATCCCTGCCGTTTCCCGACGCTTAGTTATTCCTCATTTGGTAATATTTGTGAAGCTAACGAGTCAAGATCGGCTCCGAAAACCCCATGTCATACCCCATCTCCCCAGGTCCCACCCCACGTAAAGGCTTCAACTTTCCCACTTCGGAGTTGCAGTCTTTTTCATATAAACACTTTATTTGCCATGGGAGACGCTGAGAATGAGGCAAAGACCCGCTTGAAGAGAACGAGGACAGGGTGTTTCAAGTGCAGGGTGCGAAGACGAAAATGTAAGTCAATGATCTAATTGCCAGGGTGGACACTTACTAATTCTACCTCAGGCGATGAAGGGAAACCTTCGTGTCAACGCTGTGTTGATGGTGGATTCGAGTGTCAGTACGGCACCAAGTTGTCATTTCTTCAAAAGAATGCAAAGACGTCTTCGGGGTCCCGTAACGCAAAACAATCGTATGCTAAGCTGAGGGTATGTTGATCGAGGACTTCCATTGTTACATGTCTGCTAACATAAGAACTAGTTTGTTGTACCAGAAACAGCAACGAAATCTGGTACACATGTACAGCATAACGAATTCGCCTCGAGCGAGCCTGAGAAGTCCGAGGGTTCATATATAGAGGTAGATGCGACTGCTGCAGCGCAGGAGAATACTTCTCAACACCAAGAACCCTCGCAACAAACAAAACCGCCCGATCAGCCTCCGCCACCAGCGATAATCAGCCCCAGCGTTGAAACTTACGTCACATCCCATCAAGCTCCTTCTCATAGTCTACAAGACTCTGTAGACTTCAATATCGTTATTTCGCCTTCCAATGCAGCGTATGAAACTGCCCTCGACGGACTCCTCGCTCTAGGTAACGATCACTATGTATCCCCTTCAGCACCTACAGTATCTCAAACCGGCACCAATGGGGGACTGTTCGGACAGCTTCCACAGAATGCGCAATTCGATGTGAGCGATAAGCCTCGTGAAGATGTCTTCCCCAATTGTCTTCATATGCCACAGGATCGTGCTGTTGAGCTGCTACGACACTACAGATACAATATTGCGCCTTGGGTAAAGTTGTCCCCTCTTGTCTCTGGGAACGATCTAACATGTCTCGCAGCTTGATATCAACGATCCTGACCAGACCTTTGGTTTGTTTGTCCCACGTGTTGCTATGGACTCTATTTGTGTTCTCGATTCTCTCCTCTCCCTTTCTTTGGAAACTCTTGGAAATCGTACCCAGCTTGATCCAAATGAGCAGTCCTTAGTACCCGATACAAGCACTTCTAGCATCGAAATCCTTTGCCGCGTGCTGGTCTTCACCTTTACCACCCTCCGCCGACAGTTCGCCACACAACCAACCTCCTGGTTAAGCCCGTCAAAGAGTACTGGCTATGAGACAATCAACTCGACTTCTTTCCAATTACATCACCCCACTGCCGCGCTGGCTGTGTCTTGGATGGTTCTACGCCTGGGTTAGTTCTCGTCTCATAAATTTCAAGGCAACTTCTAACGAGTTCAGGTGTTTCTGTCGGTCTTATGAACGGCTCTTCAGTCCCTATACCCTCCATCGTCTCTTGCGAAGTTTCTTCACCTATAGGCATGTTGAGTAGAGAACCACTCAGATGCGGGCGAGAACCTGTTCTTTTGTGTGCCGAGGTCCTGAATTATTGCTTCGGGGGTGATATTCAAACTGATCCTGACACGATCCGCCTTCCGGCCGCCCACAGATGGAAAGCATTTTCTGAAGCTCTTCACAAGTGGTACGCAAACCGTCCCACGAACTTCAAACCCATGCTCGAGACTGAAGACGGCGAACAACTCTTCCCTCTGGTGCTCTTTACCAATGGGGCAGCGATCTTGGCAAACCAGTTGTACCATACATCGATGCTGTTGCTCCTACAGAATCGGCCACGTACTCTCCCGAAGGAGCATGGTCGAAACATCTATCTGTCACCACTATGGCATGCTCAGCGAATCTGTGGTATCAGCCTGAATAATGACACGCGGACCAGCTGGGACTTTAGTTTGTTGGCGTCTTTTTATTTTGCTGCTAAGCGGATGACTTATGAGCCCCAGCAGCATGCTATTCTGCGTGGGATTGATCGCATTGGGTCTTTGACAGGATGGAATGTGAATTCACTATCAGCGCAACTGATGCATGAGTGGCAGCCAGATTGAGAACGCTGGTTGTTTGAGTAAGTTTCGTCTTTTTGTATATATGCTTTTAAGCTTGAGGACCGGTGTATCTATTGGTCATGATTTTAGCTGCCAGCTCTATATATCGTTAGAGAATAGAGTATTACTTGTTAACTTTCTATGTACATGATTTCAACAACTACCTAGGTGGTATATATTTAACAATCACGGAGCCTAACGCATCCAAAGCTATGTATTCTTAAGACTGAGTTGACATACTCTAAGCCTATCATAAACAAAACAAGTCTGATTTATTAATACTTCTTTCTTATATGGTCAGGTCAGCTAAGGTCCTCTTTGTGGCTCTTCACAAATTTCCTTTCATTAATGTTCCCGGCCTACATTGCAAGTCTCCCGTACCCATCTTTCACAAGACCATTTGAAGAGTGAGCCTATAATTTGACTCACCTTGGGGTGCTTCAAGAGATGCATAAATGGAACCTTACAAAAATCAATGTACCGTGGCGAATAGAGGTTTGATTGGAATTTGTTGACGTCCAGAATAGGCAACTTCAAGCCCTCCACTAGTCTTTGGGTGGAGAAGTGGAGAGACGATAACCTCCAAGCCTGTAATATACTGTAGAATACCATCTGTTACACGGACAATGTTGTATGCGAGTAAAATGGGGTGGAATAAGACAAAGATGGCCTTTATTTTCTCATTTGGTACCTCTTTCACTCTTTCTTCGTTCCACAGTCCTCCTTGAACCTTTCTTCTCCTCAAACCATCAATCAATCTTCGAGCTACATCCCATCACGATGTGTTCGCTGGCAGCCTCGCAACCCCTCACCCTTGATGCAACACCAGTAGTTGATGAGCTCAAGGTCAAGCTCAACGGCTATCCTAGCGATCCTCAAACTCTCAAGGCTCCCCTACCGAACCCATCCTTACAGGTCACGGCAGATCACAACTTGAAAAGAGTCGATGCGCCTGTGTATGCACCCAAGTCTGGCGAGGTTCTTCTTCACATCAAGGCCACTGGTATTTGCGGGTGAGATAAGGAATTATCAGTAGCAAGAGGTATTGATTGCTGATTATTCGGACAGTTCTGATGTTCATTTTTGGAAAACAGGATGTATAGGTTCCCTTGTATTTGATGGTGATTGTATCATTGGACATGAGGCCGCTGGTGTTGTGATTCGTGTTGGTGAGGATGTTACAGATCTCAAACCTGGTAAGCAAAAAAAGAGGAAAATGAAGTATTGTTACTTATACGAATCTCTAGGCGACCGAGTGGCTGTTGAGCCTGGAGTTCCTTGCGGTCATTGCTTTCTGTGTAAAGACGGCCGATACAATCTCTGTGAAGATGTACAGTTCTCCGGAGTCTACCCTTATGCAGGAACTCTGCAGCGATACAAGGTTCATCCTGCCAAATGGCTTCATAAGTATGACAAAGTGGAATTTTCAGGCATGAAAGCATTGAGGAACTAATGACTTTCAGACTTCCCGATAGTGTCTCTTTCGCCGAGGGCGCCCTTCTCGAGCCCCTGAGCGTCGTCCTCCACGGCATAAACTCAGCCCCGATCACCCTCGGAACGCCTGCTGTGATCTGTGGTGCTGGTCCTATTGGCCTTCTTGCTCTCGCTGCCGCGCGAGCTTCTGGAGCCCATCCCCTCGTCATCACGGATGTCGAACCCAAACGACTGGCTTTTGCAAAGGATTTCGTTCCCACAGCTATTACGTACCAAGTTGACATTAGCAAGAGCAACGAGCAGAATGGTGAGGCTGTGAGGAAGCTGTTCGGTGAGACAGAGTATGTTCAGCCTAGGGTTGTGTTTGAGTGTACCGGTATCGAAAGCAGTGTATGCTCCGCTGCGTATATGGTACGTCGTGGGGGTGTTCTCATGGTTGTCGGTGTTGGCAGGTCGATTATGAACAATCTGCCTTTCATGCATTTGTCTCTTGCTGAGGTATGTAATCAAGACTGTTGGTGCTGAGGTGGGACACTAATGATAGGTTACAGATTCAACTTCGATTCATCAACAGATACAAGGATACCTGGCCTGCAGGTATTGCGTGTATTGAGGGGGGCTTAATAGATGCGAAGAAGTTGGTATCGCATGTTTTCCCTCTGGAACAGGCTCTTGAGGGATTGACTTTATCGGCAGACCCTAAGAATGGGTGCATCAAGGTGCAAATTGTGGATGAGACCGAGACAACGTATTTTTAGGAGATTTAGCGGTAGCCGTTGGGATCAAAACAAGGTCTTGTCATGATGCTCTTTTTTTTTGGTTGGCTTTCGACGTTCACGATAAATCCTATTCAGTGCAGTATTGTGTCTACAGTTAATTCAGTGAATTAACTGCACTTCAAATAAACCCACTACCTCGTCTTGATGCATAAATATCTCTTCTGCAAACATTAATGCTCTTAAAGTACAAGTTCAAGACTTATTATCCTGCGATTTGGCTTCAGTACCATACGAAATTAAGATAGTATTGTGCAGCTACCCTATAAACTTAGGCGTAGGTCCCGTCTATGGATCCATGATACTGGGATCGTATTAGTGGAGCAGACACTGAAACAATTCATTGACCGCCACATCTTCAACGGCCTTGTCTTGTACAATAATAGACCTCTAGAGTTTAAATTTCAATCGTCTTTTATACAATGAGTGGAGTCCATATTCACAACTTGACATCGTAACGCTCACAGCCCAAGCCTTCCCGTCTTCTCATCCGTCTCGGCTCCAGTTAGCTACAACCATGCCCTGGCTGCCGAGCCCACTAAGCCTCAGCGATCCCAGCGCCAAGTTGGTGTGATGACGTCGCATTCTTCATTGGAAAGGGGGCATCTGACATGGTATTTCGGCCTCTTACTCGTCGTTGCCTGGGCCAAATCTGGGGATGAGGGTGTCGACATGGAACAAGGCTGAGCATTTTAGTTGCCAACCCGCCTACTTGTGTAAATATATAGTAGCTAGAGCTCTTTTGCTTGTAAGAACGTCAGCAGTCTTGTTCCATGTGAAGCGCCTGCTCTTCGTTCTTTACTTTTTGTCACGCGACAGTAGTTCAGACGTCAGTTGTCTTGCTTCCATATTCGGGCTCATATCTAAGTGCCTTAGTAGGTAGCTAAACAAGGACAGGCCAACACCTCGAGTCTCCCAACGTCAACCTACCACTTCCAACAACTATTTCGATTCTCAATGAAAACCTGCTAAAACCTCACATACATCCATAGCATCACCACTATGGGTGCAACTCAGTACTATCGCTCTCAGATTGGCGAAGAATCCGTCATCGACTACTCTCATACCGACTTCCCCTTCAAGCTTCTCGCCAAGGACGTATACTATTTCTTTGTCTATGTATGGGCACTGCCATGGGTCATCTGGCCTGTCTATCCCTTCAAATGCAAGGTTTTTGATGAGCTCTATCCATCCCCTCAGAACGTATTCTGCGTTGCCGTTCACTTGGTTCTCTTCTTCCTGCAGCTAGGGTTCATCATAGCCCTACCATTCTCTATTGTGTTTCCAGTCTGGATGGCGGCAACAGGTATTGCTGGTTTCATGTTTACCAACTGGCTCATCTGTAAGCTTCTCAATGGTAGTAAGGAAACTTATACCTCGGATGAAAAGTACGCCAAGGCTCGGCCTGAGCACGCCCATGAACAATGGGTTTTCCTGAACGGCGTTGCTGTTGGGTATGATAATCTCAAACTAAAACATGGTATTCTCCACTGACAAGATTATAGAGACCATTGGATGCAGTCAAACCTGAACCGACTTGCACTGACTTTCGGCCGGCCTATTCTTGGCATTCATAACCAGACTCGCGGAATAATATTTGATGTTGTTGAATGTCTGGTACAGCGCAATTTTGGCTACGCAACTGGGGATGTCAGAATTTGCTTCAGACTTCTCAAAGACATCCTCTACGATGAAAGCAAATCCAAAGTCGTGTTCGTGCTACACTCCCAAGGAGGAATCGAGGGGGGTCTGGTTCTCGATTGGTTGCTCCAGGAGCTGCCACAAGATCTAATGTCTAAACTCGAGGTTTATACTTTTGGAAACGCTGCCAATCACTTCAACAATCCTCATCGCCATCGGTCTTCGCAGATGCTGGCTCGTCTCAAACCCCTATCAGCGATGAGCACTGTTCTTACTGAGTCCTCCTTCGACTCTCCTTCTAGCAGCCCACTCGAAGCCAAGGATGATCTGGCCCTAAAGGCTCTTATTCCGGTTAGGAAAGAATCTTCTGGTGTGTCGACTCGATCTGTTTCCGCTGCCAAAGACAGGTGCATCTTGCATGTTGAGCACTATGCCAATAGTACAGATTTTGTTGCCATATGGGGCATACTGCATTTTGCAACAAACAGGATGGAATCGCGAGAACTCCCACGGTTTCAGGGGCGATTGTTCGCTCGAGCAGACGGCCGCCACGGTGGCCACCAGATGAATCAGCATTACCTAAACGCCATGTTCCCTTTGAAGAAGGATGCTAAAACTGGAGAGTATGTGGGCGCTGATGAAGACAATGAGTTCATGAATGAGGCCATCAAGGTCGGCGAAGAAGGCAGCGCCTCTGCCAACGCGAGAGAAGCCTTCGAAATATCATGGGCTGGAACGCAGGGATTTGGATCTGGCGATGCTTCAACGCCGATCGAGGTTCATGGGATCTCAAACAGAATCAAGGAGGCTAGTGACGACCACGGAATCCGTGTGAAGGATGTGAGCCGTTTGTGGAGTTACAGAAATGGTCGGAGTCCTGTAGAATTACCCCCAATGCTTGTCTCGGAGAACGGCGTGCCTAGAACAGCAACTCTATGAGCATGAGAGGGCGAAACATAAGCAGATAAAGGAGATAAAGAAGAGGCAAAGCATCGAGAAGTGTTTACAGCCAGTATACTTGTATGAACATACCCTAAGGTCAGTCATGATGGTATTGTTAATAATTAAAAGGACATCATGCGACTGGTGAAATTGTATTAGTTGTTAATGCATTCGTCTTCGTTGAACCCTAGCGAGCTTGAGAAGCCACCGATACATTGATAACGAAGAAAGTCTCACATCTCTTACTGAAAAGCGTGGCAGGTAATATGATGGTTGACAATGAGGACTCGGGATAATGACCCGTGATGGTTTCACGGAATTAACTGAATGACCACAATATATCCACCATCATGTTCTATCGATGCATAGGAATAGGATGGCAGATACTAGGCTGGACCATCACCACCATGTTATGATTGCGAAGGAGAGACATTCAGCTTCCTTTCCAAAGAGAGCTTAATTCAATATGCATCTCCAGTGTAAGTCTATTGACCAAAAAATGTTGGTGAGGGGTTCTCGTAACGCTGTCTTTGAAATTTACTCCTTATCCTTTGTCCATCATATAATACATATTTGGCTGCATCCGGGGCCTTTTGTCCATGAAATTCTCCCGAGCTCTTATCGTGATGTATCTGGTCGGGGATAACCAGGAGGTTGGCTATTTGTGTTCCGTCTTCTTCGAGTGGCGGTAGTCTGGCTTTCCAGAGCGTGAGTCGACTCGCTGATTTCTAATGGATAGACTGGTTGCGTAGTTGCTGGCTGCAATCTTCCAAATTCAATAATGCGACCGTGGAATTGGATTCCTCCGGAACCTGATCTCACCATGTCCGCGCCCTCCGCCTCCACCTCTGGTCTAGGGCTCGAGGTGATTTCCCTCCTAGAAGCCCCTTCAGAATTCCAGGGCCCTGATTGCCTCAGCTGCCATGATTGATACCCCAAAGAGATATTGTCAGGACTATTTGTGGAACGTCGTGGCGAGGGCTCTGTGGCTGTGGCCGCTGGTACACGGCGTGCCCACATGGGAACAGGAGGGTTACTCGAGACAGGTTGATCTGATCTGGAGGAAGAGTTTCGTGACATCGGCTGAGAAGAGTGATTTTCAGGTCCCGACGAGGGTGGTCGAAGGGTGCTGCTTGCAAGGCTATTTGGCAATGAAGATGACAAAACCTCCCCAGTAGACAGAGTACGACGATGATAAGATGCTGGTTGCTGACGATGAGATACAGGTCTGAGGCTGCTCACTGAGTGGCTGGTGATAGGCAGGCCTGGTGCCCACTGGTCAATATCTGCATCGAGAGATGTATCCGAATGACTTGCGCGTGGACGGTCTGTTATGCGATCATGGGTGAGCCAGTCTGCGTTGGCAATCTCCATAGTTGGGATTATGCCATCTCCTGAACCCATGAACGGGTTTTCTTCAACACGCTCACGAGTTATCTCTCGAGGGTGAGAGTCTGGTCGAGGAATAGCCCCCACACTCTGGCCTCTGACTGTCGGCCTTACAACGCGCTCGGCAGGCTCAAAGAGTGGCCTTGATCGAGAGACACTTGGTTCCCTGATCAAAGTCCAACTATCATTCAAGTCACGTTCAGACACCCTTGGGCTGTTGCCACTTGAACGTCTTTCTGCTGGCCGTTGCTGAGAGACCACGCTCCCCATTAGAGTATCGTCATCCTCATAGAACACCGGTACGGGCATTGTACTATCGTAGGGATATGGTACATCGTTGTCTGCTTCCAGAGAAGGGAAACTAGTGCGCAAGTCCCAAGGAGCTTGCTTTTCTTCCTCGATGTTGTCGTCATCCGGAGTGGTAAAAGAGCTTGACAGAGAAGCACTGTTGCTTTTCTCAAATACCGACACATAAGGACCCCGAACCCATCTTCCTTCAGAGTCTGTGGTCATTGAGCGTGCCAAGGTGCGAATCTTGACTTGCATATCCTCGAAACGGCCTTGCAAGGCTTGCTCAACGGCCATGAGTTCTAGACTCGGCCTATCGACTTCTTGAAGATGCTTCAAAATCCTTCGGCACTGGGTGGCATATCTTCTATAGTCATCTGGAATGCCCATCTCCTTATTGTTCTTGGCACGACTATCTCCCCGATCGAATGACTCGAGGAAAACAGCGGCAGCACGTTCAAGCCAAAAATTGTACTGCCCGTCTTTCTTCAAGGCCTCGAGAAAGAAGCTTTGCACGATGCCGTGGACCTTGAGCACATCGAGAGGCTCCATTGGTCTTGAACTAGGGATCGTCTCGCCGGGCGTGCTCACCGATGGGACATCTTCTATCTCGTCACGCTCGATGAGAGCAAACGCTATGAGAACGGTGAATGTCTTGTTAAGACTCCGCTTACCAATCAAGTCATGGGAACGCACAGGAGTGCGCTTATCAAGTGCTTTCAGGCCTATCAAGTTAGCTTCGTTCCGGGAGTGATGGCGGCCTGATAACATACCAAGTGACAGCATCTCGACCGGCACCCGCCCTCCCCAGAATGCGAGTAAATACATGAGGTTAAGCGCCGCTGTCTCCCCTCGTTCCTTAAGCTTTTCTCGCACAGCCTTGTAAGCTCCCAACCCGCCGGTACGGGGCCGCTTCTTGTAAGATCGAATGTACTTTGCCAGTGGCTCTTTGGTAGCTTTCATCTGACCGGCTGCGGTATGGAT